TTGATGCTGACTTTCATTTTGCAAGCAAATGAACTATGCTGCAAGACGAAAGATTCCCTCCTTTTTCTTCTCGTGGATAGATGAAAGGGAACGTCCGCGTGATAATTTGGACAGCCGCCGTTCACCATCGGGAATGAATAAACAAATAGTACAAGTTTCTGGAAAGACCGCCGACATTATTCGCTGTCCTGTGCTTGCTTGCGAAATTACAGTCAGCGACTTTGCGTTATTTGCACAACAAAAGCTCAAAAAATTTGTTTGACCAATAACAGGCAATTTTGATTTCTAATTTTTTGCAAAGTTCCGGGAACATCGATTCACCTTTGCAGGCTATTCATTGTTAAATGACTTGATGAGAGTGTTGACAGGAAGGTTAGTGAGTTTTTAATTACTCCAAGGCACGTGCTTTATGTTGTCTAGTTGTATTGTTTTGATCAATATGCTTTAAATTAAGTCACTCTTGGTCTCATTCTTCAGCAGCTGAAAATCTAATTGCGCGTAATATTTTATACGGCCCAAAAACGACAAAAAATCAATTTCATGATCTTTGCGCAAAGCTCTTTGCTTGATTCAAAACGGATGCTTAAGATGTATTAGAACCAGAAATGCGAACGTGAATCTTCCGTAAGAAAGCTGAAATGGCGGCTGTTCATTTTACACAACTGCTGGTTTTCAGTGTCAAAAATAAAAATAGGTCCGCAAAGCGTACTTGTGTGGGTTTATGTTTACTTTTATTTCATTCAGTTGGAGTGCTAGTTTTAAACGTTAGTAGTCGGGAGTTAAAGTAATACAAGTGAATAGGCCATCACTAGAAAGATAAAGGTATAAATTTAAACAAATAAAGTAATACTGATTATTTGGTATCAACATAGGTGAGTTGTTATTAATTTTATTGAAGACTGTTTACAGATATCAAATTAACTTATTCATGTACTGTCAAGAGGGTTTGCTGCAATACCTAAGCCAGTTAAATACTAAAGTCAGCAACTGAGAATTCAACAGTTGGTCCCAAATAGACACCTTGTCAATGGTGTCGATTCCACTGAAGTTCTGAACAGGTTTTGTCATGACTGGAAAGAAATGTTGTCACGTGGAATAACAATAATCAATTTGCATACAGGAAGTAAGTTTTTTTGTTGATTGCCAGCTTTAATATGAAGCAAAATGTGGTAAAATTTTACTGTAAATGCAGTAAAAACACTATAAAAAAAACATATTCTTCATATAGTTTGCATGCCTCTTTTGATACATGAAGATCCTTGTGATGTTAACAGTATATGTTGATGATTGACAAGTAGTTTGCATAATATATTTCTGGATAGAGGAGTGCATCCATTTTTGTTTCTGGATGCAATATTATTTTTCAAGTGGCTGATAACATACAGTTGTATAAAGAGTTGTGTAATTAAGGGATTCCAGCGACTCACATGAAAAGTATACAGTACAGGTTTATCAGCTGAAACTTGATGAAAAGTCAAATGCTACACAACAAACATAAAAA